GTCAACAATCATCCCCCATTTGCCTGGAACTCAGTTTACGGCATTTGCCTCGTCCCCGTTTTTCTCTCTTTGACTCTCTCATTCAATCCCGCCGGTTGCGAGGGGTCTCTTTACTGCCCTCGCGGAAACCATTCTCCATTCTACTCTGTTTCATTCCCTGCCAATATCATGATGCTTCATGCATAAGACTGTGCTGTACTCGAGTCCTGACGTCGCATCTTTGCGGCTTTACCGTTCTCTTAGGCCTAGCATAACCACTTTCGTTGCCGGGCGCTTTCTTCTGACGGGCAAGTTGCATTTGCATTCTCATTGTCTTTATCAACCTATCGCTCATCAACCAGACTTTCACCTGGCCGACGTTGCGCGTGTCTACTCTTTTCCTCCATCGTCTCTCAACGTCTACCTAATGACCACGCGGTTGTGGTACGTAGAGAACTTCATCTTATCCTTCGCAAGGCCTGGTTTACTACCACACACCCCGAGGGACCGAGTCGAGACCCCGGCTCTACTTAGATTCAATCATACCCTCCACACCCCCAGGAGAAGACGAGACACACACCCCAGACCCTTGCCGGTAGTGTACTTACATGGGCATGGGAAGCATCCGCCGTCGCTTTGCCTGCAGAGCTTCTACATATGTACACTGCGGCCCACCGCCGCCCACACAACCTTCATCCTTCCGTGCGCCTGATACCTAGTATTACTATCTTGACAAGCCCGCCTACCCCAACCTCGACCTACTAGCTTTGTCCTTCAAGCCTTGCCTTGTGCGTCGCGGCGTCTGATTCTTGCAGCATACCGCTGTCTGATTCACTCCTTCTGAGTGGCCCGATCCGACTTTCCAGTCCTGTCAGGCTCGTTCGCCATCACCCTCAACTGGTCGACCGAATAGACAGACAAGCCTTCTCCCCAGGAACAGCACTCTTTCAACAGTCGATCATCCCTCGAACATCCCTCTTTCCTCCCATCCTTAGTTTATCGTTGCGAGGCGTGTCTTCCCCAGCACTCGGTCAACTCGCCAAAGACCGGTACAACAACCTGAGCCCGGTTAATCCAGGTATTTTCAATCCGTAATACGGTCAGGAAACCCCCTAGAACAGACTCTGAGGACTAGCTGGGGGTTCTTGATACAGCAGAGGACCATCTTGGTGGTTGCCACGACAGGAAAGGGTTGTTGGTGTTGCACCCGCATTCTAAGCACGACCTCAAACTCCAACTCCAGAACCCGCACACCAGACCGGCACTTCTCGTTTAAGAAACCCACGGAGAGATATACGGCTAGCTGGCCCTCCAACTCATAGACGACGTTGCCCCCGACACCTCTCTGCAGCCTGCAACGCACTTGCATCGAGTCACCCTGAGAGGCCCAGGGCTTCTTGACCTACAAAGCAGACCGCCTGCACAGCGCGCCTTCAGGAACCAATTGGCCACCTCTGCCATGCATGGTGTCTTCCTTTCTTGAAGCCAAACCCACCAACATCTGTCGGGACCAGCAATCCCCACCCTTGGCCTGAGTGTCATCCCATCAGTCAAGGCGAAGCCTTCGGCGCGACCCCTCCTCGCAATCACCAACCTGGAACCTGGACTTTACGACAACAGGCCAGCCAGACAGTCTCTTTTTGAGTACTGCCAAGTTGGATTTTGGGGATCGAAGACACATCTTACAGTTATATAAGCAATGAACAACTCCATCGTGGGGACTGCCACCATGGACCAGGACAACCACCTCACCCAGGACGAAGACACCCATATGGGTCACAATCACACATCCTTCGGCGCCGAGAGCTGGGGAGACATGAGTCCTTACGGCCATCAGAACAGCATGTCGGATTTCGGAGGCTTCACGTTCATGCCATCAGTCACCCATGGATTACCGTCTGAGTCAATCGGCAGAATGCCTCCTCCGCCAGCTCCTGTGCAGCCGATGCAGACTCATCAACAACAGTCTCATGCCCAGCTACCGATGCTCATGATCCCATCTCAGCCAACGTGGCCCAGCATGTTGACCAACCCCAACAGCTATTCAGCACCTCCCTTGGGAATGGCACCCGTCGTTGCTCCAGCCCCTTCAAGGCCTACACGGCTGACAAACGGCCCGCAGCCGCAACAGCGAAGGGTCTTGACCGACGACGACCGGAAGAAAATGTGTCAGTATGCTGCTGAGCATCCCAACGTGAAGCAGACGGATATCGGCGCCATGTTTGGCGTTGAACGAAGGTGGGTTCAAGCATGTGCATGAAGAGTGCGTTTAAGTTCTAACCTTGACGTTACAGCACCGTATCCAAGGTTCTACGCAACAAGGAAAAGTACCTGAATCCGGAGGCGGACAGAAGTCAATCTCCCGCTGGAAGGCGGCACACCAAGGGGAAGTTTCCGGACATCGATCGGGCCGTTGCGGCATGGGTCAGGAGACAGCAACAAGCCGGGTTAACACCTAGTGACGATGAGATTCTGGATCAAGCAAAGCACTTTTCTCGTACCACCAACGGCGGACCTGAGGCCAGCCAGATGAAGTCCATCAACACCACTTGGTTGGAGAGGTTCAAGCAGAGGAACATTCTTGTATCAGGGAAGCTCTTGCGAAGAGCATCGGAAACGAACATCACAGACCACGCGAAACTTTCTGGCTCTCCGTCTCTTGGAGCATCCGGCATCTCACCGGCATCGCCAACAGGACACCCATCTCCACTTTCGGCCGACAGGAGTGATGAGGACGCTGTTCACGGTCTCGGTTTTGTCGGATATGGTGATAGCAGCGCCTACAAACACACCAACTCGCAAAGCACTACGTCTCTTAACAGCGCGTTAACCGATGCAGGAAACTCGTCCTTTTCGGGAAGTGCGATGAGTCCCACCGCCACATTTACGTTCTCCCCTGACCCCAACGCTGGCCAGTTCCTCCCCAACGATACGTCACGCCAACTGCATGGAGGGGCCGCTTCAAACTTTCAGAGACCAAGGAGCCAAACCTTTCCCACTCTCGATTTGGAGTACATGAACCAGGCCGCATCAACCGAGCCCATGACACCCAAGTATCACCCGGCGTCTACGGCGCCTTCTTCTGCTTTGGAATCGCCGGTTCACGAAATGGCAGCACCCCACTTTGGCCTAGATACCGCCATTACTTCATCGCCGCATCTGCACCACAGCAGTAGCAACAGTAGCATGGCTGGCCGATCAGCCACGACTCCAGCCGGGTCATCTCCGACATCACCGACACAGGAGGATGCTCGAAAGGCTGCGGACACGTTGCTGAGTTACATCCAAAGCACCAATGGGGGAGCATTGTTGGACCAGACGGAGTATGTGGTGATGGTTAGGTTGACGGAGAAGTTGCGCCTACAGCAGCATCAGCTCGCGAAATCCGGAGTGCCTCAATCGTTAGGCATTTTGGACCGGATACCCGAAGGAGACACCGAGATGGCACCGCAACACGTTCACTCGATGTCGCTAGGGGTCAAGTCCGAGCCCGTCGTGACTCAGTGAACACCCGGCCCGATGCTTCAGCAAATCACTTTGCAAAGCGAAATCATATCAGCTCGCGTATAATTCTCCTTTTTCGGCAAGGATATTCTTCGTCATTCTTCAAGGCGTTTGTTTGTTTGTTTGTTTGTTTGCTTTGGTTCTGGACTGGATCGGGAAACAGGCCATCCCGCGCATGGTATGCGTGGGCATCTACAACAGGACGACGACCTTCACTTTGGTCTCACCAATCTCTAGACCCGACGAGAGTTCTGCAAAGAGCACATCCCCCTCGCCAGGACCGGATTTTCGATTTTCGGGAAAAATAAAACCCACTTCCCAATGGCGATACCTATCATGGGGAATACGACACCCCAGGAATACACGGTCAATGTCTCACGACAGCCCCGAGGCTTTTCTCGATTGGATCTTGAGACTTCAGACTCCGCGACAATAATCTCGGGCGCCTGTGTCTTCCCACCACCGGTCCACAGTCTCACGACGGTTGGAAATATGGGCAAGTAATTATAACTTATCAATACAGGACCGGGGTGGGTACTGGCCAGAGACAACGGCGCGGAGACATTTTCTCTATTACCTTGAAACAACAGCATCACTATTATCCATCCCACTCGAAACTTCAGTCGAGACATCCATATACCCCATTCTTATCGACGCTCACGCTCCCCTCGAGGGAAGACCATTCCGCTCACGCGAAACACCGCAAAATTCTCCACGCGCCACATCGATTCAAGCCTGCTTTTCAATAGTCATCTTTTCCTTATTCTCTTTCTTTTTCTGGTTCATGTCTGTCTCTCTCCCTAGCTTCCCCGAGCGCGAAATTTTCAACCATTTCACCATTTCGATACTGTATTATCCTAGCCTTCTCTTATACACTCTCTGCATCTGTGAGGCGACAAGGATAGGAAGTAAGGAGGGGTTTCCGGTTGGTCGGGTGGTGGCCGGTTAGCTAGGCACGGTATATACAAGGGGCGTGTGTCACGGAAAGGGGCAAAGGCTTTGAGCCAGGCACGGGTTATCATAATTGATCAACGGGCTAGGAACGAAGAACGGCGAGAGGTCGAGAAGACACACACAAGGCAGAGGGATGCCCAAGAAACATTGAGGGGAAAAGGTACGATGCGACTCGTAGGCAAAGACCCATCGTCTAGCCCCGGCCAAAGAGTCTGTGTGGGAGAAAAAAAAAAAACGAAAAAAAGGGCGGCCCCTTTTGCATTTGATTTCCTAGGGATATGCCCCTTTTTTCCCTTCCTTCCTCATTTTCTCCCCCTTGCCCCCTCCCCGACCGGTCTGCGAATATACGAACATCACAAAACCATTTGTCTCTTGTCTTTCACGATCAAAAGTGCTTTTGTGACTGCCCCCGACCATGTGTCATATTCTGAGATTCCGATGAGGAACGTTATCTGGGAAGGAAAGCATTGCTTCATTATGCGGAATTACGAAATGCGTTTCTCAGACTAACAAGGGTATCTAAAACACGCAGAAAGGCATAAAACTCGTTCACAATTAATCCGTCACAGGCTCAGACGCTCCTCCCAGAGCTCAACGACGCCCTTCTCCGCTAGCTCCGGCATCAGTCTCACCAGAATCAGCTCCAGGATGCTGTACACCAAGTGCTTGTTGCAGTATTCGTCAGAGAAGATATCGAGTATGCCCTCTTCGATCTCGGCCAGCATTCGCTGCTGCTCCTCGTCCTCATTCTCTTTACTTTTATTACCTAAATCATCAGTTCTGTTACCGTTAGTGGCATCACCCCTGCCAGGAACATCGGCCTCGCTCTCGCTCATGGCCAAAGGAGCGGCAGCATCATCAGCACCAGGTCTCGACTCCGGTCCGGACCGCCACCGGAAGCCAAGGCCTCGCCCGCCTAGATACAGACCAGCCAACCAGGGCGGGATGCTGGCTAGCATGGCGCTAGCGCACCTGCGGCGTAAGGCACGCAGCTCCTCCTCGGATGAGGGGGCCACCAAGGTCGAGACGCCGGGGGCGTTGTTGGGGAAGAGAGCGGCGCGGATGGAGCGGAGAATGGTTGGCAGCAATGCGGCGTCGAGAAGACGTTGGTGAATGGTGTGCGAAATGAGCCTGTATTTCGACGCGGCAAGCGCTCCATGTCAGCTTTCTTCCCGGGTATGCTCCCGACTCGGACAGTCGCGACGGTCAAGTGTGTGGGGGGTTGCAGGGGCTTTTGTGTGAACCGACAAAGGGAAGCAACGATCTGCGGGAGGGGAATTCAGAGAAGGGGGGATGTCAGGAAAGGAATAGAGACAGCTAGGCCAAGGTAACACGAGGTTGAGAGCAGGGGTAGCTGAGCGCCCCCCGATGACGGGATTGCGACGGATGTTGTTGTCTTCGGTTGTTGAGATGGCTCAATGGCTTCCGGGATCGACGAGCAGGTGTATCTAGATTTCGAGGCCCTTTGCTGGCGATGACGATAGTCTAGAAGGCTCGGGTTCGGTGCTGGAGTCAAAGGCGCGTGGATGATATCTGTCCTAATGTCGAGATGTGTTCCCTTCGATTGCGGCCCATTGAGGTGTATGCGAGCACATGGCAATGCGCAGAGACCTAGGAATACCAGCCGGGATACAGCTAAGCTCCCAAGCTCGAGTCCGGCCAAGCTCGCATCGGTCCATGGAGGGCAGGCAATTAGGCGCTGAGCGGGGACCGGCAAGCTGCTAGCCCGTTTTTCGGGACGGGTCGAGTGACTGCCCATGGCCTGGACCGTTCCGGCCTGATTATACGCCTCGGCTGGCGGTCAAGGACGGAAGCTTGCGATCAGCCCAAGCATGACCAGATGGTGAAAGAGGCCGCGCAGGAGAGTCCGCGCAGGTAGGATTTGCGTCCCGATATGCGAGGCCGCTTTCACCACCGACTTCGCAGCGGGGCGTCAAGAAGCGAGCAGGACTGATAGCTTTCCGTAGGTGACCAAGCGTCGTCGTATTTCCGTAGGCGTGTACTGGGCAAAGGAGATGACGGTGATGGAAATGAACCCCTGCAAAATGATGCTCGCTGTTGGACTTGGGCGCGTAAATGAGGCTTGCTGGTGGATGGAAGCGCAGCCCCGCGAGGGCCCATCGAGCAATCGGAGGCGAGCAACGTTGACGCCTGCTGCGATTGGTCGGAAGCCACGAGTTCCTTGGGATGCAACCGCATGTTTCGAGGAATCGGGGGAACGAGGTCAAGTCAGGGTTGGGTCGCAGAATGGGCCAGGTGTGAATGTCACACAGCATATTTCGGCTTTTTCGCGCAGTCCTGCAAGAGACTCGACCCCCATCACTGCGTGCACCCCAAGGTGTGTGTCGCCATAGCCCGTATCAACTCATCCACAAATCCATCCACAGTACAGCCAACTAGGCTGTCGTGGGAAAAGCCATCCCGTCTCACTCACTCGCCTGACGGGGCGCTGCTGACTGCTCACTGGAGCTGGTTGAGATCCAGTGACTTGAACCTCATGCGGTGTGACGTGAGATTGATAGAGAAGGAGAGGGAGAAACAAAGTGATGGTTGCCTACCTGTCCATGGCTCCATTGAGACCAGCAATACGTCCTGGGCCGGCCATTGCCCCGAGCTGGAGAAGTGACATGATTCCACTCAACCAAGGCATGCGAGAGTCCATTTCGATCAAATCTGCTACGCAACTCCACAGCTTGAAGGCAGCAATGGGTGTTTTGACAGGCTGGGCTTCGTTCGAGCTACCTGGAGGATTCAACGTCTTCGAATGCGATATTTGACCAGTCACTTGGTCCTTTTCATTCAGCTCGCCGTCTGACCTCGGTGGCAGGGATGAAGACATTGCGAGAGTCATGACGAGGAAGCGCACAGTCGAGAAAGCGAGAAATGACCATTGTACGAGCGACCAGAACGCGCCCTGGATAGACCAACTGCGACGGACAGGCCTGGGGAGGGCGGATGTTGACCCGGCCTGCAACGCCTCCGCCACTCCCTCTTCGATAGGCTCTGATGCTCTCCTGTCGAGAACTCTGGTGAGGATGATAAAAATTTCGTAAACGAGCCATGGTTGCGAAAGGCGATTGGCGAGGACGTTGCCAATGATGAGCTCGGAGAAGATTTGGCCAACCAGAGAGGTCAAGCAACTGTTTTCGAGGTCTTCAGTCGGTAGGAGAACAGCTAGGACGCCCTGCACCAACAGCTGACGATAAAGCGTCTCGTTCTCTTGCTGTCTCGCAACAGACGAGGGGTCTTCGGGACGAGGTATGGGCGTCAAAGGCGCCAAAGGGCATAGTGAGTGATAGACTTCTCGTGGGTCTATCTCAGTTGGCGGTCGAGATATTGGATCATGCGCCGCGCGGTAGGCTATCGACTGAACGTCAGTGAAAGACTGGCCTAATAAATTTGCATGTCTTGACCTACCGAGGATATGTCTATCCAGTAAATCGGGAAGCTCGTCAAACAAAAGGCTTTCGAGGTCGACCTTTCGCAATCTCTGCTCCAGGGCCCTTGTACAATGGGCGATTATCTGGACGATTTCGTCTACAAAAGTGTCATCGGGTGTGATTTTGCTGTACCAAACTTGCACGTATTCCCTCAGAATCACAGATATGAGTGCGTATAGCTGAAGATCGACATCGTTTCGGCTGGTCAGGGGTGGCAGTAGTTCTTCGATCGGGGACGGGGTTGCCCTCCCTCTTTCGGCGAGGTGCTTGGAGCACAGGACACGGCGGATGAAGGCGGCGGTTGCTTTGTCGGAGAGGTAGTCTGTAGGAGTAGGTCGAGCAGATCGGCGAGCGGAAGGATTGGCCTGTAGCGGAGGGCGAGTCCGTTCGGCGCCGGGGGTGGCCAAAGGTGTAGGAACGGCCGCGGCTGGATCGTTCAAGAAGCTGACGGTCGCGGGGGCTTTCGGTCGCGGCGTCGGAGCGCGAGGGGTAGCGACAGCTGCCATGGCCGTCTATGGTTGGCGCGACCACACTCTCATGGTACGAAGCTTCGAAGTCTGTCGCGTGTAACCCTTTGGCGGTGGCAGTCAAAAGTCGCGAGAGTGAGCTGTCGTCAAGTTTGACTTGCAGCCAGCAAGATTTCGGACGACGCTGATCTGTGAGGTGGTCGAGTGACAGCAGGCGGAAACTGGGGACCTGCCCCCCCGGTGCTGGTCGGTTACAAGGAATGGCTCGTCTCCCGTTGCAGGTGCGTTTAGCGGCTCATCGGCCGTGGCCCTGTGCTCTGCAGGCCGCTAGGACCGCCAGGGCGGGCGCCTTACATAAGGTACCTTGCCTTAGGTCCCTTCCATTCCATTAAGGAGGCACCTGCCGGAGTGGCCCGCATCTGCAGAGGACAGCCCGGCACTTGCCCCGGCCACCGGACCCGACCTGCCGGAACATTTGACAACGCATGCGCTTGTCTTGCCTTGCTAATGCGAGTCAGCCTACCTACCTTGTCTTTGGTGCAAGGTTGTCGCAACAGAAAACGTCCAAAATCGCCCCATCTTGGCAGAGCTCAGTAGCATGACTGAATAGTACGCACATGTTGAAGTCGAATCCCAAACAGCGTTATATTCACCCGTAGCTGCCCTTCACTCTGTGATCTTCGTGCCTCATGATCCTCGCAGTATCTTCGGTACTGGTCATACAATTCTTGGCTTGGACAGTAGTTCATGAAGAGGAGGCAGGACACATTTTACAGCAAAGTTGATTACAGAGTCGACTTGGTCTTGATTTCTTCTCCCCCCTTTTGTGTTATACAATGCACATGCCGATAGTATGATACACTTATTTACAGAACCTCTATAAGTGGTCCAACTTCATTCCCATTTTGATTCATCAGCAATGTGACGAGCCTCTACTCGTCATCCTTCTTAGTCGTCTCATACCTAGGTATTCCTTGTTAGCGACGGACCACATCAACGGCGACTGCGCATTGCATACCTCTTTCCACGGAACGCCCACACTCCCCAGTTTCCACAGCTGACGTCCTGGGGATCCAGGTCATTCAGATCCCACCTCAAGCTGCGGAAAAGATTTTCGCCAGGCTCCAACAGAACATCGAACTCGCCAGCAGCGGTCTTTCTGACCCATTCGATATCTCTCTCCATATCAAACTGGGTATAACCTGTAGCAATGATAGGAACCTTGGTCTCCAGAAGCATAGGAAGCGTCTCAGTCCACTCGTGGCTGCTTGCGGGATGGCCCAAACCAGGATGGAAGAGGCAGAAGCAGTCAAAGTACGGGTCGTAAGGCGCAAAGTATCCGGTCTTGTGGATGGTGTGGTAGTAGTCCACGATGGTGCTGATCTTCATCTTGTGCGATATCCGGTCCTCGATTACCATACCAAATGGGTTCTCGGGCGTCCGCTGCGGCAGGGGGAATTCATCGTCCCGGTTAGCCATGCTTTCGGGGCCAATGAAGATCAGATGAATTTTGCTCTCTGGGAAGAGATGAGCAAGCTGGAGCCAGACGTTTCTGGGCAGGGATGATTCGGCACGCGCTCCCAAGCAGAAGACTCTCACGGGAGGAGCCTCAGGACGAAGTTCCTTCATGGTAGTACCCTTTCCGGAAAGAGGAGGATGAAGAGTATAGCGTAAAGCTGCCTTCTTGTCAGCTCGTCGCACTTGTGAACTATGCAATTGACTCACCACTCAAACTCTTCAAGCCCTCGCTCGTCAACCTCTCCCCCTGCTTGACGCTGTAAGGGCTCAACTCATGCAGGACACTGCCAATTGTAATGGGGTATGTGAGCATCTTCGTGACCTGTCGCATGCTGCGCTCATCATTGATAGCCTCGAACTCGCGGCTGTACATGAAGGTGTCCCAGTTGGTCATGTTGACGACCGCCTCGGGCATCTGATCGTCTGCCATAACGAACTCCGGGAAGGTCCGGCCAGATCGTAGGTCGTGGTCATCCTCATTGATCTCCCTTAAAGTGTCGCAGATCTCAAGGTGAGCCTCGTAATCGTCCATCCAGTGCTCCTTGCTGCAGGAGACGGGAATTCCACAATCAGGACACTCGAAATCGACGTGCGCCGGCGCAAGCTGACCCGTTTGCGATTGCTTCTCCTCGCCATGGGGTGCGACGGTCGGAACTCTTGTCGCGCGATGATCGGGGTGAGAACAGTAAGCATGTTGGCGCATGAAAGCCGCACGTCGTCGAATCTCCGGGATGGGTGAATTCGTGAAAGAGTGGAACAGGTCGTCTGATCGGAGCTTGGGGGTCGACGATTCGTTGGTAGAGGACTTTACAGCTGCCGCCTCGCTCGAGGCTTTCGGGGACGAAGAGAATTGTCTCGTGGGCACATTGTTGGCCTTCGATCTCCTAGAAACGGTGGAATGGAGGCTTCGGGTCGAGTGGGCTGATGCGATGCGAGGGGTGATTCTAGGGACTCCATTGGCAATCAATTGCCTTCTCAATGCTGCAGAGCATTGCCCGCAAGCGCTTGACGCTGCTCTTCTGAAAGCCGGCTCCATGACGCCCGATGGTATACGTAAGTCCAGTTGCAGCCTGCGTTGACACCAAGAATACTCCCTCTCTCTCACAAGCTTCCAGAGAGCTCTGGATCGACGACGGGGCCGACCCGAAATTTCGGGGAGCTCGGATCAACAAGATGCCGACGCCGCGGGTCTCCACCACGTAGGTCTCAGGCGCTGAGTGGGAACCTGGAGCTTCTGAAATTTCGTGCTGGAGCTTTCCAGCCTCCCAACCCACCATCACTTCCAAAAACACCATCGCGTCTTCTGCATCGCCCATCCATTCGAGCTCGAATCTTGAGGCCGCGCAGGCTATCTGCGCTCACCTGCAAACATGGCGACGACCTCGAACATGTTTCTCTACTCCCTGACCCTTCAAGCGCCTACCAATGTCACACAGGCGGTGCTGGGTCAGTTTTCTGGCACCAAGGAGCAGAACATTGTGACAGCATCAGGGTCGCGATTGACTTTGCTTCGCCCGGATCCGTCACAGGGGAAAGTTATCACGCTCCTCTCGCACGATATCTTCGGCATCATCAGGTCTATGGCCGCTTTCCGCTTGGCTGGAAGCAACAAAGGTATGTCTCGTGTCCCACATTCCATTTTAAGCTTCACTTAGTGATTTGAGAAGCTTGCCGGTCGCGACAGGCGTCAATGCAGTTAATGTCGCTCGACCTTGGATGTGAGACTTGATTGCCAAAGGACTTTGCTGACCTTGCGTCAAGACTATCTCATCCTTGCGACTGACTCTGGAAGGATCACAATCGTCGAGTACATTCCAGCGCAGAATCGGTTTCAGCGTCTACATCTGGAGACTTTTGGCAAGTCTGGGGTACGACGAGTTATACCTGGAGAATATCTTGCATGCGATCCGAAAGGCAGAGCGTGTATGATCGCGTCAGTCGAGAAGAACAAGCTCGTATACGTCCTCAACCGCAATTCGCAGGCCGAGCTCACGATCTCTTCGCCTCTCGAGGCACACAAGCCTGGAGTCCTGGTGCTGTGCATGGTCGCGTTGGACGTCGGCTATGGCTCCCCAGTCTTTGCTGCGCTCGAGATCGAGTACACTGAGGCGGACCAAGATCCTACGGGAGAGGCAGCTCGGGAAGCAGAGACTCAGCTGGTGTACTACGAGTTGGACTTGGGATTGAACCACGTCGTCCGGAAGTGGTCCGAACCCGTCGATCCCACAGCTTCGCTGCTGTTCCAAGTCCCAGGTGGTCAAGATGGCCCCAGTGGAGTCTTGGTTTGTGGAGAGGAAAACATCACATACAGGCACTCCAACCAGGAAGCCTTCCGTGTGCCCATCCCGCGCCGAAGAGGTGCAACGGAAGACCCGTCCAGGAAGCGGCACGTGGTGTCTGGCGTCATGCACAAGCTGAAAGGTAGTGCTGGCGCCTTCTTCTTCCTCCTGCAGACTGAAGATGGTGACCTTTTCAAGGCGACCCTCGATATGGTTGAGGATGCAGATGGCAATCCCACCGGCGAAGTGAAGCGGCTTAAGATCAAGTACTTCGACACGGTGCCGGTATCATCTAGCCTCTGCATTCTCAAGAGCGGTTTCCTTTATGCTGCCAGCCAATTTGGCAATCACCAATTCTACCAGTTCGAGAAGCTCGGAGACGACGACGAGGAACTGGAATTCTCAAGCGACGACTTCCCAACAGACCCTAGGGCTGGTTACGAAGCGGTCTATTTCCATCCCAGACCGCTGGAGAATCTTGCTTTAGTCGAGAGCATTGACTCCATGAACCCCCTTCTCGACTGTAAGGTGGCCAACCTGACTGGTGAGGATGCGCCACAAATCTACACAGCCTGCGGCAATGGTGCCCGTAGCACATTCAGGATGCTGAAGCATGGCTTGGAAGTCAACGAGATTGTGGCGTCCGAACTGCCCGGCATTCCTTCGGCGGTTTGGACTCTCAAGCTGAGCCGCGGCGATCAATACGATGCGTACATTGTGTTGTCTTTCACCAACGGAACCCTTGTTCTGAGCATCGGTGAAACGGTCGAGGAGGTCAGCGATTCCGGTTTCCTAACGTCTGTGCCGACCTTGGCAGCACAGTTGCTGGGCGAAGACGGCCTCATTCAGGTCCATCCCAAAGGCATTCGTCACATCCGACATGGCCAAGTCAACGAATGGGCCGCACCGCAGCACAGATCCATCGTCGCGGCGACCACCAACGAGCATCAGGTAGCAGTTGCACTCAGCTCGGGTGAGATTGTCTATTTCGAAATGGACGGTGATGGATCCCTTGCCGAGTACGATGAGAAAAAGGAGATGTTCGGAACTGTCACATGTCTGAGCTTGGGTGAAATCCCCGAAGGACGCCTGCGAAGTTCGTTCCTGGCTGTGGGCTGTGATGACAGCACTGTACGTGTCCTGTCGTTAGACCCCGAGTCGACGCTGGAGAGCAAGTCGGTCCAAGCCTTGACTGCTCCTCCATCATCCCTTGCAATCATTGCCATGGATGACTCCTCATCCGGAGGCTCAACACTCTACCTCCACATCGGCCTTCACTCTGGTGTCTACCTCCGTACAGTGTTGGACGAAATCACCGGAGAGCTTACGGATACGAGGCAGAAGTTCCTCGGTCCCAAGCCGGTGCGGCTTTTCCAAGCTACTGTTCAAGGACGGACCTGCGTGATAGGGTTGAGCTCTCGTCCGTGGCTTGGCTATTCTGATCCCATCACTCGAGGCTTCCTGGTGACGCCATTGAACTACGTTGACCTCGAATGGGTCTGGAATTTCAGCAGCGAGCAGTGCGAAGAAGGTGTCGTTGGCATTCAGGGCCAATCATTAAGGTAAGCAAGCATCACGAGTTTCCTTGCTCGTTTCCTTTACATGACATGATGAGAAATTTGGGATCCTATGCCAAAGCGCCATGAGGTCTTACGCAACATACCAATTGTTCCTACTGAGTCATTCTTCAACCTTGTTACTTTCTGCATGCAACTTCCTTTGATCAATAGCTGACGCAGAGGATCAGAATTTTTGCCATTGAGAACCTAGGAGACACCATTACACAAAAGTCGATACCCCTCACCTACACTCCGCGGCGTCTACTCAAGCATCCCGAACACCCCATGTTTTACACGGTCGAGGCAGACAACAACACGCTGCCACCTGATCTACGGGCCAAGCTCATCGCAGAACCTGGTGTCGTCAATGGCGATGCTGTGGTGCTCCCGCCTGACGAGTTCGGGTACCCCAAGGGCAAAGGCCGCTGGGCTTCTTGCATCAGCGTCATCGATCCCTTATCAGAGGATCAGCGAGTCCTGCAGACTGTTGACCTCGACAACAACGAAGCAGCTGTCAGCGCTGCGATCGTCTCGTTTGCCAGCCAGGACAACGAAAGCTTCCTGATCGTTGGCACCGGCAAGGACATGGTTGTCAACCCTCGCCAGTTCTCTGAAGGCTACATCCACGTCTACCGCTTCAGCGAGGATGGCCACGAGCTAGAGTTTATTCACAAAACAAAGGTTGAAGAGCCTCCGTCAGCGCTCCTTGGCTTCCAAGGCAGACTACTCGCGGGCGTTGGCAAGACCTTGAGGATTTATGACCTCGGCCTGAGGCAGATGCTCAGAAAGGCCCAAGCCGACGTGGCTCCGCAGCTGATTGTGTCTCTGAGCACGCAAGGAAGCCGCATCGTCGTCGGCGACGTCCAGCATGGCATCACATATGTCGTCTACAAGGCGACGACGAACAAGCTCATTCCCTTCGTCGACGACACCATCTCCAGATGGGTCACATGCACCGCAATGGTGGACTACGAATCGGTTGTTGGAGGCGACAAGTTTGGCAACATGTTCCTCGTCCGCTGCCCTGAGAAGGCAAGTCAAGAAGCCGACGAGGAGTCAGGCGGCCTCCATCTCCTCAACACGAGAGACTATCTCCACGGCACACCACACCGCCTGAACCTCCTAGGCCACTCCTACACTCAAGATGTTCCTACCAGCATCACCAAAACAAGTTTGGTCGTCGGTGGCCAGGATATTCTGCTCTGGAGCGGTATCAACGGTACCATCGGCGTCTTCATTCCGTTTGTGACCCGTGAGGACGTGGACTTCTTCCAGAACCTCGAGCAGCACATGCGTACCGAGGACGCTCCGCTCGCCGGAAGGGATCACCTCATGTACCGTGGTTACTACGTCCCCGTCAAGGGCGTCATTGACGGTGATTTATGTGAGAGGTACACCCTTCTGCCCAGCGAAAAGAAACAGATGATTGCCGGTGAACTCGACCGCTCAGTGAGAGAGATTGAGAGGAAGATTTCAGACATTCGAACAAGGTCTGCCTTCTAAGGGCTTCCTCGGCCGGGAGGGGTTTTTGTTTTTTTCCATTTGCGGACACATTCACCGATCGAGTACATCTCGCATAAGAGATATCGGGATATGTCTTGTGTATTGTGTACAAAGCGTTACAACGGTATATGGTAGCGGCGTTTTCATACAGGCCAAACAGAGCCATATAGGTGGTTAAGGACATGATGACGACGCAATGAAGAAGAGCTCTAATAATACCAAAAATGCCCAAACGCCCGTTCCCAGTTTCCGTATCGCAACCAGTGAACCTACGTGGACAAACAACCCAAATTCCCACTCATCCGACTCCGTACATCCAACCCCTGTTACGCAGATCCCCTCCAAAACGGCCCCCGATTCCGCGGTGCAGCTTTGGCCTTGTTCTTCCCCCTGCCGCCGCCGCCGCCGCCGCCGCCGTCCTGGACGGGATGACTCTTCTCCCACGCCTCGTCGTCGGCGTACGCTTCCATGGCGGCGGCGAGGTCGTAGCCGACCTGCTCGAGGTACAGCACGGCGACGTCGTAGTCGGAGACTTTACAGCCCGTCATGAAGCGGCGGATGCGGCTCTTGCGCAGCTCCTCCTCCTCGCCCTCGACGGGTCGCGGGGAGAGGCTGACGCCGGCGGCGTAGTAGGCGCCCGGGACGAGGACGGTACGGCGTCCGTGGAGGAGGTGGTCGCTGGTGATGTTGTTGCTGCGGCGGAGGACGGCGGCGGGGACGCCGTAGCGGAGGGAGAGGGAGGCGATTGTGTCCGTGTCGTGGTTTAGGAAGTGGAGGGTGTCTTCGGGGGGCGTGGCGGTCGAGGAGGAGGCGCCGCTGCTCTTTTCGTTGAGTTCTTCGTCGGCGCCGGCGTCGGGTGAGGTGTATGTGTACGGCGGGGGCGGGGCCGCCGGGGCGCCGGAGGAGAGGTGGTGGGATGGCGGGACGGAGGTGTACGATGGCGGGTCTTTGAGGTTTGGGGGTAGCACGGAGGGCGCTGTGGATGTCTGGCAGTATGGGCAGTAGGATGCGAAGCGGGTGTTTTCCTGTATTACTGGTCAGCGTTCTGTTTCCAGTGATATCAGCATTCGACCGGCGGACGCACATGGATACAGTTCCCGCAGATTACACGAGCGCAGCACTCGAGTCGCCTGTCGTCCGGCAGAGGCTTCTCAGTGGCAGCGCTGTACCTCGGCACGGAGCTGAGCAGCTTCGCGCAGGTACAGCAAGCTTCGTCGGATGGGTTTACGGCCGCGTCGGTGACCTTCATGATTTTTGGAGATGGACGAGGGGGGGTTACGATTATTTTGCTTACTCGTCTACCTTGAGTATTCCCAACAAGACGGTCAGGAAAGCCTGCATGACGCGTTTCCTGCGAATTCAGGGAGGTGTCGACGGGCCGGGAAGTTGCGTGAACCTTAGTCCGCGACGATGAGCCGTTGAACGGCCTGGTGTCACGGGCTCTCTCCCCCCCGCTGTCTTGCCACCCCCACTACTCCGCACCGCCACCGCGGCCGAGTCGGCCGGCGTTTCGACTGACGTCTTCCATCCGGTCGGGCAATTTAGCTTGATAGCCACTGATAAGCGAGCACAGAGTGAACGGGTGGCTTGTACTTCGTGTAAGACGATGATAACTCTTTCACGCTTGATCAATTCCCGAACTGATGATGGTTGTGCCTGGACTACGGAATCGATACTTTCAACGACTCATTTTATGTGGTGTAATATGACCCTAAATTAGGTGCGTATGAACATTCTGGGTCTACTCGGATTGGCGCTGAGGAGAAGACGTGCGGTTTAATAAGGGAATGGCGAATGACTTCATGATGTCAAGTACCTTGAGTAGCTAGGCAAATAACGCAAAACTTGCAATGTGTACGCCGAAAGGAGGGCTTGCGGGACTGTCTCATACCTCTGCTTTCCCATCGTCTATGTGCATTGCCTTGCGTGACTTCGACAGACTGTCGATTGTGCTCATATCGAACCATCGGCAGTCAGCCAGCTCTCAATCCACATGTGGTCACTTCCCAGCGTGGCCAAGACTAATTGAGAATATAGCATGGCGATGAAGTGTGAAAGATGATGCCTGAATGAAGAAAAAGAGAAGGATAGTGAGAAGAAGAAGAAAAGCAATCACCCATAGGGAATCGAACAAAAGGTTAGGTTGAGTGAGGCTCGACGGTGTCTGAGCTAGTACATCGACTCCCCCCAGGTACCCCTCGGCCATGTTCCCCTTGTGCCTCTTATGACTAGAGATGAGATGAATTGATCCAAGTATCTCGATTCCTCCTTCCCTGAAAGCAGTGGCTGAATATAAGCTGGACGGTATACGTTTACTGAATACGCGGTGAACCTCACATAAGAGGAACTGATCAGGTGCTTGAAATATGAAAACACCATCGTCACCAAATACGTACCAGCGAGTACACAATCTCTCGATGATTCAGAACATGACTGGGTGAACGTGATACAACCAATCGCGCTCACGTTTTGCACCGGTTCATGACCTGTGAAGCCTCCCCATATCTCACCTCGACAGAAGCTTGGCCCTATCATGAAAATAACGAGCGACCCGCCTTCGCTCGAACCCGCTCATTTCGTCCAATCCATTCTCTAGATCCAGAAGCGTATCAAATTCCCTTGCCGAAATCACTCTCCAAGCCGTTGAGAAACCACGTCACAGTTACCATGCCATACGCCTCCTTGGCCTGTCCCAAGCCAAGCCTCTATACGTACGTACTTACGTCTGAACCAACATGTCGAATCCCACACCCGGTCCAGACCCAAGGGCCCCTCTTCAACCAAGCTAGCCGCCGTTCCGAAACCCCGTCTCCGCCGCCCGGACCTCCCGGTCTCTCTTCCCAAGTGTTCCGGAATCCATTCCCCGTCTATCCTCCCTCTTGGCTTTCCATCTCTGCTCTTATATCTCCTAAACAGGCATCTCTCCGACAAACCTCGCATACTTAAGAGCAACAACATAAAACCACAATCCCACGCGGATACCTCGAACAGGTCCCATGTCTATAAAATCAAGAAAGAGTCCTACTTACGTAATTCCCGGATGCCCTCGGTGGGAACAAACTGGGCCCTTCACGGGAACCCGAACCCAACCTCCTCTCTCTCTCTCCCCGGCCCCCAAATGATCCATCTCCCGCAGTTACGGTGGACCAACAGCTCAACTTCGAACGGGTTGCCATTAGGTGATGGAAACGTCCACGTGCCCCTGGTCACAAGAATAAAAAAAAAAAAACAGGACGCAGAAAAGCGTAATCCACTGCGGAGTATACGGAGTAAGCAGGCAGGGCAGCAACAAGAAATGCAATCACTCAAATCAAACGACACGGGGGGCGGCGGTGCCCCAGATTCTTTTTCCCCGTCTTTTTAATATCAATCTCACAAAGGTTCCAGACGGGGGGGGGCAGCAGTCACACACGGTCGTTTCCATGTGTACACCTGCCAATAGACCCGCCCTTTCAAGGTAAGGCAGGCAGGTCCCATGTCAGTGACTGCCGAACTCAAAGTAATCACTTATCCAAGCAACCCTCGTCCCCTCAGGGTCATAGAGAATATAGTCTTATCAACCCAGAATCTCGTATATGTCACTTCCAAATCGGCTCACCGAATCAGGAAGCCAAGGAAACGCAAAGATTGTATCTTTACCGCAAGGAAAGTATACGTTCCAAAAGTCTTGCAGATGTAGAAAGAAAGAAAAAAAGTTCACATGATTCCAAACCCTCTTACATTCCATGACCAAGAGGAATCCAGGAACACGCAGCTCGGACCAAGGAACACACACATACCCCCGGCCTCTCTCTCCCCTCATCCGGGCTCGCCCCCTTTCGACCCGAGTAAGAGCCCATCGTGACTCGTAACGCTGAAGGAAACGACACACACCCAGAAAAACTTTGGTAAACCTGAAGCTCCCCAATCCACAGGCTGTTTTTCGATACGCACATATCCCGTATGGTACCACCACGTGTCTTCATTCTCGAACCCACCAGGATAAGGTAGAAAGCCCTTGGCTATTACCTAAACTTCCAATAACGACGTCACATGAATGCAACCAACACTGCATCCTTTGGTTGCAGATACCGAGAGAGAGAAAAGAGACACCAATCGAAATACAGAAACGAAATCCGTAACAGTGAACACGCAATCCTCACCAGCTTGCTCGTGACAATGACGCCTTTTACACAAAATAAGGTGTGTACATAGATCCACAGTAAAGAAAAAAGTACACGAAAAAGCTTGAGCAAAAAATAAATGACCCGATCAGAGGCCGGGTTTCATTCAGCTAGCCACATCGACTCAATTCAAGCCAACAAAGTCTCTTATGTACGGAACCGAGTCCGATGCCCGTTCGCCCCGTCTTGTCCCAGACGCGCGGCAGCCACAAGTGGGTGCGGGTTTGTCCATTTCCCTCCCAGATGCCTCCGTGTTCCCACATCTTCCGCCGTCGGCCGATCTGGACCCCCACGGCCGGGGGGCCTCTGGCAACGACAAGCCATCAGTACCAAAACTTTAGACACCTTGCAAATGATGAGTGACGCTTGCTTCACGGAGAAGATTTCAACCAATGTCCATTTCACCCAAGAGTTGAAGACTCTGTTTTTTTGAAATCCGAAATAGAAAAACTTTTTTTGGTTCCGCCTGTATCCTATACACCATCAAATATGCGATGTGTGAATGATGAAAAAATAAACGCCATTAAAAACAAGCGCGGGGTTCCATTGCGGAAAGCTTCCCGGCATATAAAAACATGAAAATAAAAGACAAGTACTGCAGGCCGCCAAACCTCCCGTGGGGTATTTCCGCCGCCCAGTGTTGACTGTCCATATTTCGAAAGAGACAAAATGATTTGTTGGTAACTTTTTTATGTCGTGATCGCATTTCCCCGTAGATGACCGCACGGCGCGGGTATTGAAAGCCATCTTGATAATTTTTGTTTCCCCCTCGCTGGTGTTTGTTGTAGTTAAGGACGCCGCTATAGGCTTCGCCCAGAAAACAATCTCGCCGTCCGAATGCTGATGTCGTGTCGTCTCGGGTATCGAGTTTTCTTCGCTCCCCGCAAACCTCCCATGTTCACATGATTAAACTTCTTTTTTTTCTTTTTGAACCAAGACAGCGGCCACGAAGGCCTTGATAGAACAAATTTGGACAAATCCTCCTCTTTAATCACAACGATCCCGGTCCATGTGCAGGTGTCGATGATTTCGATTCTTTCACCATGGGGGCGCAGAGTTACCGCATGTTGCTGGTATCGAAAGAGAATTGTGATGGGAAGGCCATGCTGGCGCTCAGTCCAAAGGGATCCCAATCAATGCCGGTATCCAAGAGCTGGGTCATGGAGGGATATGCACCCTGGGTCGTGTGGGTAGGTTGTGCAGGCTCAGCCTGAGACGTCATGTGCTGGCCATGGCCGGGGCCAACGGAGTTTGGCGAAGTCATCATATGCTGTGGTGCGTCGCCAGAGAAGCCGCTGGGATATGGCCCAGGCCCGCTTGGGGTGTCGATCTCGGAGTCTTCAATCATGTCCGCTGGAGCATCATACTCTTGTTCTAAGCTTGGTGTTAGGAATAAGACGGCAAGATTCATCAGTAAATAGGGCCGGTTGACTTACCTAGCTGCTCAATGTGGTTCTGGAACCCAGGTGTTGGGTAGTATGAACCATTGTTGCCGACGCGAGGAGGGCCTCCGGACATCATGTGAGCTCGGGCGGCCGGGTTCATGGGACCCATGGGGCTGAGTTGAGACTTCATGGACGGTGCCATGCCAGGACGAAGCGGTCCGTGGTCAGAGGCTGCCGGTGAGAGAGCCTGCTGGCCTCCATACGGTGCCGTGCTTGATGGCGAGTTGGAGTGCGATGAAGGGGTAGGCCGGCCCTTTGGTGAAGCAGCAGAGTGGGCTGCTTGTATCGGCGGGGGTAGAGGACTGATGCCGGGCTCCAGCTTCGGGGCGATGCTCGAATTGGATCGACGAGACTGGTGATGTCGGTTCAGGATGGCTCGCTGAATAGGTGGTGGCTGGACCATGTTTTGAGGAGCATGAGTCGGCCCCAAGTTGGGGCTGCCAGTTTTGGCACGAAGCTCAGCCTGAACATCAATGCCTAATATACTGTTAATACTCGAGCATTCTCGACCAATTGACGGCGTGTCACCGTACCTTTCTCCAAGAGGATGCGTTCCAACAAGGAGTTCTTGTAGCGCAACATCAGACACTCATCGGCAGCAGTGCGATGAGCGGCCTGAAGGTTGTGCAGGTTGGACTCATGTACACGAATGGCTTCCTCGAGCTGTTTGATGTACTCTGTGCGACGCTCGCGGAAGGCAGCTTGAGCCTGGCGGTTGCGTTGCTTACGCTCCTCGGAGGTGGCGTAGATCTTGGGGTAAACAATTAGCCTTCCTCTTGAGCGGGAGTTGAGATAGGACCAAACAAGGTTTCGTCCCAGGTGAAACTTTAAGATTGTGTAACACAGACGAAAGTCTGGGGAAGTTGTGGTGTTGATAGAGAGAACAACAAACACACACAAAAGGTCTCACAATTGAGTGAAGGTGTTGATTCTGAGATATGCAACGAGGAGGAAAAGAGATACTCACAGGCTTACGGCCACCCTTTCGCTTTGGTTGCTGGCCCTCGACAGCACCATTGGGGTTGTTTGAAGTGCCATTAGGCACAGGCTGATGTTCGCCCTCGGGACTAGAACCCACGGTCTCTGGAGTATCCTCCTTGACGGGATCTTTGTTGTCGATGGACATCTTATCTGCCATGCCTTATCTGGTCCGGGGGTTGAGGCAGGTTGCCGGTCGGCGTTGGCGGCAGCGGCAGCGTGAGCGGCAGCGGCAACGCAAGCACGGGAGGATCTGTATCTGGATCTGGATCTGTAGATAGGACGCCGTTGTGACGTCGCGTGTTCCACACTCCCAGCCCTACGATGTTCTGGAAGTGTTCGTTGTATGGGTGTTTGGCACTTCTCGCGCGTGGTTGCGGGCGCAAAAGAGATGACAAGCAGGGACGGGGTCGTAAAAAATTGCCCGAAAAAGGGATATCCGGGGGAGAAGTTGCCAGTGGCGCCTACGAGCGCCCGCACGGGAATTGGGGCGAAACCGCCAGCGTGGTAGAGGGACTTGGAAAAGGGTGGGAGAATCTAAACAGCCGCGAGATAAGGTACGGAGCGGTGCGCTGCTGAGACTGTGACTGGGGGGAAAGGCATCCAAGCGGGCGCAATTGAGCTTCAGTTGAATCTTTGACAGCTTGTTTTTGCCAGCCCAGAGATAAGGGACGCAGCGATGAGAGGTTGCAGTGTGTAAGGAAATGGAAGAGAGCGGCGGTCTTTTATGTAATGATAATAAACTGGCAGCTTGAGGGGGGGCGCACTCCAGCCATTCGCCTAGACCCAGACTTTGCGGCTTGCCAGACACCACCGAGCAGGGCCGCCGGCGTGGGAGTGGGCGTGCAGCGACGAGCGGAGAGGGGTGAGGGATGAGGGATGGATGGGATGGGATGGGTGACTGGTGACTGTGAGAAGAGACGGTGGGGATGGAGGGGATTCAAGGAGGAGGAGGAGGGGGGTGTGGTGAGTACGGATACGTGTGAGTGTCCCTCTTGAGAGGAGAGATCAGGAGAAGACTTCCGACTGTGAGAGAGAGAAAGGGAACGAGGGGGTGTGTGGGGAACAGGCTGTAGGCCAAGCTTGACCGGGTCGTTGTTCCTGTTAAAAAGGACGGGATGTTCTGCTTCACAACGTCCACACAGCTTGACAGGATGGGACCTGCTCGTCTCTTCTCTTTTCCTTGCGGTTTGTGTGTCTTGGTTCTCTCCCACGGTCTTCCCCACGTTTTGGTGCAGATGCTGTGCAGACACACAGACAACCGGATGTTCAATTCGTATGGGTGAGAGGGACAAGCCTCTTTCTCTCACCTAGGGTCTCTGTAACTGGTTGTCTCGATCTCTCTAGACCAAGCACACACACACCACACACAGTTATGAGAGCTGAGTGGCTGATTGGAGTTGAATTGGTGGTGGCTGCTCCGCCAACGTGAGAGGGCGAAACTGAGAGAGAAAAGAGGATCGGGTGAGCAGCAGCGGACGACGAACGATGAAGGGTGTGTGGTGGCAGAATCTGTTGCCTCTTTCTCTCTTTTGACGATCCAAACGCAGCTGGGGCCGCCAATATGTTGTGGCACCTTCGACGACGAACAGCCAGCAAGCACGAGACGACGATGCTCGAAGGATGAATGGATGAGAGGGTCAATGGGACGATATGTCGCTTCAATGGTGAAGGTAACCCAACAAGGAAAAGGGGAAACAGGAAGGACAACTCGGGCCTGGTGCTGGTGCTGGTGCTGGTGGATGGATTGCTGCAAAAAGCCCCTCCAACCGATGCTTCGCTTCCCGAGCTCAGCTCCAACGACGATGCAGTTCGCTGGGCAAGTTGCGTGGATGCTGCGCCAGCTCAGTTCAACCCCGCTTCTCACACTCGCGGTGGAGGGAAGGGGATGTGGAAGGTGAGAGGGGTCGTAAAGGTAGGCGTGCGTCTCTTCCCTCTGGACTCCGGCTCTGGGCGTGATGATGGCTTGCTGCGCGATGTCGCTGTAGCGCTGTCTCGGCCTCCCGTCGTTCGTTTGGTTGTAGTCTGGTTGACGGCTCGTACGGATTTCAACGGCGTTTCGATGTGCCCTGCATTCCCTTTCGGGGTTCTCGCAGATCAGGTGTCCTATATCCAAGGGACCAAAGGTCAAGTTCAATGATGTATGAAAACGTTTGGGACGACCAGAAAAGCTTTTCAAAAACCCTTTTCCACCAACAATCTGCACACGAGGTGGGACTCTTCTTGGTTATATGGCATTGGAGAAGCTAGGATGGGTACGGAGTACTTGATTGGAAGTCACTTTGCTGTCCAGCTGTTACTGCGTAGAATGCGCCCCCTCCAGAACCACACACACCCCTGGCCAAGTTTCCTAACTGGCATGTTTTTGTGGCACACGAAGCATTAACATGAGCATTCGTCCCGTGGAAAAAAAGGTGGGAAGCTGAGCCAGAAACCAAGGCACTTGCCTCGTCCTGTAAAGTGGGCAATTATTGGTCCAGAACCTCCTTTCCATCCAAGGCCAACCAAGGCCAAGGGTGTCAGCGACGACCACCGGTCTGAAGTCTTTGGGAGGAGTCTGTGAGCAGGAGCCTGCCTACTATGTACTTCGTAGTGTGTACTCCATACACTAGGAGCCTTAGGAGGTGGCTGTTGAGCTGTTCATCGCGCCCTATGCGATATTGTGCCGGGCAGCCTCTTTCCTTTGACGGCTTGACCAGTGACCACCACCAAAAAGCTTGAGTTTCTCGACTCTCATCACGTTCCTAAGGTAATTCGAGGTCCCGTGCCGTCTGACCAGGACCTGCCCGCACCATCTCTTGGCTCTTTTGGCTCCCATCTCCCTCTCACCCTCTCTTGAAGTCGAAGCTCAGGGAAGGGGTCATGTTGGGCAACCTTGCCCCCAATCACCGTCACGACACCCCCAGAAGAGGTCGTCCTCGTCGGATCGTTGCGGCAAGGTTCGAATACGGCACACTTTGCCAAGCCTAGACATGCAACGCAACACCTGCTCTCCAGGGAAACTAATTGCTGACTCGGAGACGTGAGTTTTGCGGTTGCATTCGTGACAGACATGGACAATAGCCGTAGGTTGATGCGCTTGTGCGGTTGCCAACCTGTCATACTTTGCAAAGCTCAATCAAGTCCATCCAGTAAACCGGAATCGAGGATCCATCCGCGCGTGTAAGAAAGGGGGCGGCAGAATGCAGTAAGTACGGATACCCCGTACGGCTACTCAAGATGCATCATTGATGCAAGATGCAATTGCCCGCCGTTGGACCAATCTGCCCAGGTCCACCGTTCAATGCTGGCGGATTGCGATGGTCGCAGACGAACCCAAACAGTGATGCAATGTTAAACTTCCATCAAGACCAATCTCCCATACTCCGATTCGGAGATGCTCCACAGGCATTTCCCTGCGTAGCCAGAAATTCGTCAACAGGACCACCGCAAGACCCAAGTGACACAGACTGGTTCTGTCATTGAACCACGGTTGAGGCATCATCACCACGAACGACCATCCTTGGCGCAAAGGGAAAAGAGGTCATTTCACCCAGCCCTTCCAGACGCAGAACGTCCCAGGCCCAGGCGTGCCCTCGCGGCAGGCCGGCGTCGCTGGCGACTGGTCGCGCTCGCTGGGCTTGGGGTCATCAGACGAAGATGGGGCCGGGCTTTGAACAGGAGCGGAGCCACGTTCGCAATCGATCAAATTTTCAGATCACCTGAGCTCTAGCCAGGCATCCGGGCGGCGGAGAGCTCCAACCTCAGTCCTGGTTGCTGTCCAGTCCAGTTGCGCGGCACTCTCACACACACCAAGAACCAATGCCCCTCCACCAATGTGGCATTTTGGAGGTACCTGCGCAAGATGTACCTCTGGCTGGCGAAACGTTAGAAACGTTTCGATGGCCGTCAACAAAACAAAGGGCGCGGGTGTGGTGGTGGTGGTGCCTGTCGGTCTCTGCGAGAAAAGCTGCGTAGATATTTCCGAGTTGTGTCCTCCAGTCGGAATGAGGCTGAGATGCGTGATTTGGGAACCGGAGCCCCCATGAACTTGAAGATAAGAAGCATCAAAAACCTATCCTTACCCCAGCTAATGATCGCCAGTTGGGGGGCTTCGACAAGGCAGAAGGAGCATTTGCTAGACTGGCATCCTTTCCCCCCCACGGTCTGAAGGCTGAAGGCTGAAGCATCTGGTGGACAGTCTAAAAGCATTGGCATCACACCCAGGCTTCGAGCACGGCGGTACCGATGCAATGATCAGCGACGGGCAGCATTGGGAAGTGCCGTAGGTTGTAACAGCCCTGAAAGCGTTTTGCAGGCAGGCTTGTAGGCTTGCAGCACAGATTGGCACGAATTGGCAGCCCCCAAAAGGCCTAGCGACATTTGGACGGTATCCCTGCGAGACTGCGCGGTAAGGCAACGTTAGCGACCACACTAATGGATGCCTGCCTCAGATCCTTGAGAATGCAGAATTTGCATCTCCGCGGAGCGCCCCTCTCCAGCTGTGACGAAGGCCACAGCCGGTCGGACGCGGTTGAAGTTGGTGTGGTGGTCTATCCTGGTGTGGGAAAGGTTTGGGAGAAGAAAAAAAAGAATTGGCGGCCAATAATTGAACGATTTTGTTGCCCATTTAAGACAAAATGCACGCCTCTCATTGTTACGGCAGGACCCGAGCATTCGGGAGAGGGCAATGGCGGCGGCGTTTCGTCACACCTTGATTCATGCTGCAGCTGCGATGTTGAAATATTTTTCCAACCCTCCGTCATGCTTGGAGATGTTCTCCAAAACAACCCCCAACGTTTTGATACACTCCAATTCTTTGGTTTGGGTTGGCGGCTGCTGCGACGTCGTCTGACTTTTTCGAGCATAGCCGCCAAAGTTCGTCTTTTCGCCAGAGATCGGGAGACCGTCACCAAGAAGGAAGCCAAGACATGTCGGTCGCAAACGAATTGTTGAGTTGGCAGTCGATCAGACCGTGCAAGTGCAGTATTTTGCGTTGTCCATCATCCGTCGTCCGTCGTGCCGTCCGTGAACACGGTGGCCGGTCGACGGTCAAGAGAGAAAGTCACACACCTCATTTGGTGGCTCTGTTCAGGTGACCGTCTGGACGAATTGGTCCTGGCGTCGGATCGGGGGTCCAGGTGGTCCGAGCCTTTCATCGGTACGTATCTGGAAAAACTGAGCAGAATGAAGAGCGGGGACGTTCCCATGTTCTAGAAAACTTCTAGTCTCGAGACCAAACCGGGCGAGTTGCCAAGTCCTCTTAGCCTCCGAGTTCCGGACCATTTCCGCGCAGCGCGGTCCTGCCATCGTTCGCCGCGGCATCCGAACATCGGAAAGCCAATGGTCTGACACAAAAGCCAAAAGGACCTTCCGCCGCGTCGCATTCTGTCGCACTCTTCCATTCTCCCACGTTCCCTTCCCTCCTCTCTTCCAGGTTTCCTGCAACGCAACTCATCCCATCCCGTACTTGGTACGCGAGGCCCTAGGGCGGGGCGCTCCTCTTCTGCCAGTGCCAGAGCCAGTGCCTCTCTTCCATGAGGTGGTGGACCGCGCTGGTGGAGAATCCGAAGACGGGGAGGGGATTCCTTCAGATGCAGGTCTTGTCGTTTCATTGCCTCTTTGGGCCAAGCTCGTCGAGGCGTGTGGGAGGGGGTAGCTGGCCGCCGGCCACTGCTGCTCATGTCAGCACCTGGCACGCCGCACGTAGTGTAGTACTCCAACGGTCATCGCAAACACCATGTGCAGCAGTCAATAGTCTGGACTGCAGCGCGGTTACGTTGGTCAGTCAGGTGACGAGGTTGACGAGGATCGCAAAAAGCCCCCAGGTACCAACACGGATACCCGTCAAGGTTCGCGAGATCGTCATCTTTCGGGGCGCTGCGGAGGGGGTTCCGGGGAGGGCGTGAATACCTGCAGGCTGCAGTACGCAGTAATTAGACATTTGGCATTCCATGGGAACCTTTGTCACGTCGCGATGCTTGGCTTGATGCCTCACAAATAAGCGTTCGGACTACATCCGTCGTTTTGCCAAGAAGTGTCGATGCCGCCGCGTCCGATGTTCTCATCTTCAGGCAACACACACTCCAGTGACACCACCTCAATGTGAAACCTGGTCCGTACCGTGGGACGAAGAGAGATGGTTCGGGAAAATCTGCTCAAATCCCTTTCGTTTCTTCGGGCCAGGATCATTGTGTTTGGCTCTGTTCACGATGGGTTTAATGCTGAGCGAGACAAAAGTCAAATCGCTGTTTCGAGCAAAGAGAAAGTGAGTTAGTCAGTCGGTGACATGTCGGGCAATTCTTGAACGCCTTTTGAGTAAACTAGGCAAGGTCAACTCTCTAGAGCTCTCTCCCAGCTTGAGGGTCGGCGCATTGGCGGCTCAATGCCAGCCATGGGTTTCTCTATGTGAACCCTGTCTTCCGACTGCAGGTAGCAACTCTCAAGCTGAATGTGGAAACTTGCAACAGGTTCGGCTTTACGCTCGAGTCACCACGATGTTATTTTGCCATCAACCTAGTCCAGAAACCAAGCAGTTCAGAGCCGTTTGAGGATCACAGAAAAGAACCGCCCTGTCAATGCACATTCCACCAACCCCAGACATGCCGCTAGTCATCCTAGTCGCGGAAAGACCAATCACAGACATCGGTCTGCCTGTATATGCCAGCTGTTCGCCGCAAGAAAACAATCCGGCATGGTGTAGCGGTTAGCATACTCCGCTTTCAATCAATCAAATGATTCAAAGTCCCGGAGAGATCCGAGTTCGACTCTCGGTGTCGGAACACCAAATCTTTTGACGTTCTCTCGAAGTTCCCTTGTTGATGGTTGGTGGTTTACATACAAATTTTTGGTACTGGCTTGGATGAGAGCGGCTCTGAGAGCATGAGATAGAGTTTAAGTTTGGTGCTGAGCTGAGTTTGCGTCTCTTGACTTACACGCCTATTACGCGACTTGATGATCTAGGTGACATTGAGCAGACTCTTTGCTACTTGGGTTAGAGACATGCATTCGCATATGAGCACAATGAGGCTGTTATCTAGCTATGTTGTCTGAGCGATTCTGCTGTATCGACAAAAAGTTCGGGAATTGCTGGCTTGCAGATTTGCTATGACAAGTGGCTTTTCACTTTGGTCTCGAAGGAGCATTTCAACTGGGGGTTCCTGTCTCTTTGACCCGACTGCGTCTAACATTGAGAGTGCTGACCGT